AAATACAGCAGAAAGTATTCAGCCAAGTACTCCACATGCTCGAACACCTTCTGAAGTTCGAGAAAATAATACTCCACCAGGCACGAACCAAAATCTGATAGCAAATATCGAAAATATGCGTGCATTGCATGGTAAATTGCCAAATATTCGTTTACCGTCTAAATTTTTATTTGGCAATTCGAAAACTCCAAATACTGTACCTGCAAAATTTTCACCTATTCCTGAACTAAGACATTATGGTCATGATCAAGCAACAAATCTGAAAGATGATCATTTTAGTTTTACCACAGGTTCGTTACCGAAAGTTGAATTAATTATTGTCAATCTAATTACTAAATATATAAATATATATTTTTTTCATTTAGAAAATCGTGAATTAAATCAACAAAACGATCGATTGAGCTCCCAAAATAAAGAGGTTATACTTCAGGTAAAAACTATAACAAAGGAGAATAAACGTCTAAAAGATGAAAATCAAACTCTGATAACAATAAATGATGCATTCAGCAAAGAAAATGATGAGCTACAGGCCAAGTTCGAAAGATTTCATTCTTTTCGATTCCCTAGAAGTTTACAACCAAGTTTTAGCTTAACCGACGAATCTGATGAACTTACAGAACGAAAAAAGAAAAAAAGTAAGGACGAAGGGGATTCTGAAAATTCGGAAAGCATGAGGGTTTGTAATCTCTCAATTATTTTCATTAAATCATATATGTCAAATTTACTCTTAATCTATTCCTTTATTCCTTTTTCATTTTATAACTAGGCTGAAATGAAGGCCATACTCAGATCGTTGCCTTCGGAACTTGAACTTAAACGTGACGAAATCTTTACAAGCGAGGCTAACAATAAAATTCGTCGAAAGCTGATACCTGAACTATTCTAGGCGATAAAACCTAATTATAACCCTACATACGAACAAATCAACAATTGGTTAAAGGCTTTACATAAGCATCGAAGAAGCCGATATATATACCAAAAGAAAGGAAGTCTTGATCAAGACAATCGACGGCTTTACAGTAACAATCAGCTTAGCGAGGTAAAGGTGATTTACTTATATTATCGCTTAACATTTAACACTAACTATAGATTTCGTTAAATTTAGAAAAAGATTTGTCGCATTAAAAATGCGAAGTCATTATTCGATAGAGAAGATGAACGAGTGGTTCAATACGATCGAAGGGACATAATGAATATATTATGAGATACAGAGTATCACTCGCCCAAAGTAAGTGAAACTGATGACAAAAATGCTAAATGAAAGGTCAACATTTACGATCTTTCATGAAGGTCAAAGGAGGTTATTATTTTATTTATGCAATATTCAATAAAGTTTATATTCTTAATACTAATAACTACTTTATATAGTTAAAACACCTTCTCCACAATATAATCGACCCTTACACATTAAGTATCCAAAACTCGAAACTATTAAGGCCTCGTAATTATGGTGACTCGAATGATAAGTTCAACTTGTCGCATCTGAGAAATGCGTCAGGTTGGACATTCTCGGATCAAGACGATAATTATGAAACAGATTTTGAACATAGTGTTGATGATCAGACACAAATGGATCAAATTGATGATGAAGTAGATATAATGGACTCTGAAAAAAACATACAACTTTCGAACGACGAACGACGATTATTGATTGATGTCGAAGAGGAATATCAAAGAGGTGAATCATCCACGCATGGCAAAATTCGTGAAGCCATCTTGCAGGACGAACCTCACCTTTTACAAAGACGAGAAGAAATTGATGAATATGAAGAAGATCTCAAATACGATGTTTATCTAGAATAGTTCCATTTTTATATATATATTATATTTTATTAACATTTATCATTTTTTTAGTATTTTATCAGTATTTTATCAACATTTTTTAGTATTTTATTAGCATTAAATATAACTATAATTCGT